AAAACAGCTTGTTGAAAATAGTAGGAGGGAAGGTCCTTAAGTTGCTTAACTGTACTGGTCTCAGATCAGTTAATTCTCACTCAAAAAAGGCAACAAATTGTTTACTCAGTGCTTCAGTCACTGGTGAAGTGACTGGAAGCAAGTTGAGGCCAGAAAGAGGAAAAATTGCCTTTAAGGAGACATTTTCCTATAACATTTGGTTTTATTCTCATAGTTTTACTACTTAAAGGTGCTTTAATTTCCTTTCTGCTGCTAGAGTGTCTAGTGAGACTGACAACAGACTGACACCATAAACCACTCCGAATTGTTCTCTGCCCTTCCAGTCACCGTCATTTCCTAACAACAGCATTAACTATGGATGCCTGGTTGCAACAAACTGTACAAATTGGTTTTTGCTCTTTCTTTGTCCCACTCTCTCTGTGCAAAAAAAAATTAAAAGTAAAAATAAACGCAACCTCTTCTGTTTGTCAGCCACTGTTTCAGACAATTAGCTGATGAGAGGTCATCCATGGCTGGCTGTTTGAAATGACTACTGCGTCATAGGCCGATTCCTGAAGACAGAAGGTAGACAAGCTGGAAAAAGACAGAAGCATTGCAGGCACCATAATGACATGGAGGGAGGTAGAACAGGAGAGAGGGGCCACATCCTGACCCATTTTAACCTTTATCAGGCAATGTGTAAAATCTTAGTTTTATCCACCTTTAACTGCTGGTATCTGGGGATGCAGTGGCATCCTCTGCAGCACAGCATGACAGGAGCACAGTGCCAGGCAGTTAAAAGACCAGACAGGTTTTAAACAAAACACCAATATCACTATGCTTATTTGGAAGAAAAAAAACTAGAGAAATGACAGGTTTAATGCTGATGTACTGTAACTACCACACTCAGTTTTCCCTAAGCAGTCAGGGATTATTACAGTTATTTTTTGTTGAGCTCATTTTCCAATTCTGTACTAAATAAATGGTATACATAATATGTTAAACAGCCTCTTTGACTGTCTGTCAATGTTCCTCGTCCTGCTGAGCTCTGGTACAGCACTCTGCATATCTCATCAATCACTTACTGTAATCATCAAATTGTTATTGACAATAAATTGACTGCTAGAAAGAAAAAGGTCCAGGTTGTAAAACAGTCAAACGGTTCTTTAAAGGTCACAGTATTATTTTGGAAGTTGTTGTCACAAGTTGTAATTAATTGGGTTTAAGCGAGCGAAATCAAGACTGGTGATTTAAGAGGACAATGAATTTAGGAGGGTAAAGAACAGATTCAAGTAAACACTGAAAATCTTTAGTAGATGCAAGGACAGAGCCCAATTAGGAGGATGCCTAGACAAAATGTAAATGCAAGGGAGTGATCAGTATAAGAGATAAATACATTACATTAAGGAAGTTGGAATAGCTATTTCATTTTCACTTAATTTCATTTCAGTTTAGTTCATTTATTTTAGCAGGACAAACAGCATTGCAATGAAAACACTACCAGCTGTGGGCCTGTCTCAGTTCCAGAACTGTTTTACAGCAGCTTCCCTGTTGTGCCAAGCAGTAAGGACAGAGTGAAAGTAGGTATTGACACTGAATAAGAATAAGACAAAATAAAAAATATAAATAAAGCATTCAACAATAATATAGAATGAAAAATAAAACCAATATAAATTGTACAAACAAGCGTGCATGCACACACTGTACATATACATACAGAAATATATAAAGTAGTAAGTGGTAAGACAGAGAAAGAACGATTTCATTTGAATTAAGTTGGTGGCAAGACAAAACGAGCTTTCTTAATAAAACTATGTTGTATGTTCTTGTAGGGCTGCCTTGCCAAACTGAGAAGAGCAGGACCCAGAATCAGAGTCGAAGGAAGAGCATCATAGGTCAGTCTGTAACTGTAATGGATCTGCCCTGCCATCCTTTTATGCTATCAGAAACCCACACTAACCTGACAAATTGTATCTCTTTTCAACTGAAAAAATGAGCTTGGACTGGGCCGAAAGAAGGTAACAGAAAATGTGTTTATGGGTGAGTCTGTGTGTGTGTGTGTTATTGAATGTGCCTGCTTCCCCTTAAGCAGGATGTATGTTGTTGCCCTGCAACCTTCACAGCAATAACTGATGGTTGATCTCCCTCTGTGAATATGCAACTACAGGTTGGATGAAACTGCTGCTGAGCAGGGATCAGCTTCCACCCCTTCTGCCAATTTAACGTTTTCATTGCTTTCCGTCTCTTGATATTGCCAGTTATTTTTTTCTGTCTCTAACCTTTTTTTATGTTCTTTATCACTTATGTCTCTTCCTGCTCCTCTTTGTTTCTAGGCTCGTATATTCCTCGCTGTACAGAGGAGGGCTACTTCAAACCCACCCAGTGTCACGGTAGCACCGGCCAGTGTTGGTGTGTGGACAAATACGGCAATGAGATTGCCGGCTCCAGAAAACAAGGCAACCCCAACTGCGGTAAGCACACCAACACATGCACACACCTTCAAATTCAGTACAGAAAAACAAGAGGCTTGCTTGTGTTGTGTTTAGCCTTATTGGCTCCCATTTGTCGAGCTGTCTTTCAGAGATGGTGCTTTGATCCAGGCGGACTGCTGTACATTTGTCTTTTCTCTCCCTTTGTAACTGACTGCAGAGCCTCTCTTTAAAACAAACCACTGAAACATAGAGCTCACCACAACTTTGTACTGTTTTCTGCTCCATGTCTCTGTTTATCTCTGGCAGTTTCTTTGCATCAGTGATCATTTAGGAAATAGATAACATTAGACATGCCTTTGGAGCAAATCAGGCTAGTTTACCATCAGTCGTATGTCTGACTCTATCTGCTTCTGATATTCTACTCATGTAGCTTTGATAAAACACCAGCAAATCAAGTTGGAAAATCTGTTATTCTTGTCAGCAGAAAGCAGTGTCCAAAGATACTGTATGTCATAAATATGAATTTGTAGCAGTGTCCAACTTACATCTTGGGAGCGAATTCACAAACTGCTGGCTGATGAAGCATTAAGACAACGAATATACAGTATGTACATATAAAGTACAATTAAGTGATTTGATGTGTCAGAGTAACAGTTAACAAGCCAGACCTGAAAAAATTTAAGGGAATCATCAAAAAGCCAGTAGAAGTACTTTGCTGCAAATCAGCTGCTGAGAGATTTCATTGTGAGAAAAATATAATTAGCAAGAAAGAAATCAGGCAGACATACTGATTATCAATCAGACGGCCAAGTCACAGTCACAGATTACAGCTCACTTGAATGCCAGTCTAGTCTAAAGCCAGTAATTGAAACTTCCAGTATTGATGAGGTGTCTCTGCGACCACAACACACATACTGACAGCAGCAGTTCTTTGTCTCCAGTCTAACAAGCTCATCTAACTCTGGCTGAGAGGCCTCAGGCTGGAGCAGCCTGGACTTCTCCCATTTGACCTTGCATAGAACAAACAGGTAGCAATGCAGCAGCTGTCTGCTCCATCATATAAACACAAGACACCAAACTTTAACACTAAATGCCGCTTAACCAGACTACACTTGTACCGAAGTGTGAATAGATTATTTTGACCTGAAATTTTAGGTCCCAGTTTCACAAAACGCTTCAGGCAACAGCTGAGATAATGACTCCTGTTTGCACTGTGCAGGATTCAACATTAGTGCTAAAAAGCATATGTTAAACAGCAAAAAGTTTGTTTTTGTAACTTGATGTAACTTTCTCACCACTGATACTTTCTAATTAAGCAACCGCTTGACTCTGTTATATTAGATAAACTCTGACTCAGCACGTTTTAATAGGAGACTACGGCTATCCTAGCATTATGTTAGTTTAGCATGTTAGCATGCTAATAGTTTCTAATTATTACTAAACACAAAGTGCAGCTGAGGCTGGTGGGATTTTTTTCAGGTCACATACCAATGAGAATTTTAGATTTTGTCTAGATGAAAACTAGATGGAAAGTTAAGGATTTCCAATGCGCTGTTAATACATCCAATGTTCAGAATATAAAAAATTCACACTGCGCACTTTTAAGTTGTGTGTGTTTGTGCACTTGTTTGGCATTGTCTCACACATAGTAAGTTTTGTAAACTACTTTTAAAATGGTGAGAGCTGTGTCAGTTGTGTTTAATGCAGACCTTGATGGCTCAGACTAGGGTAATTGGGACTCGACTCTGACTCAACTTGGACTTGACTCGAATACTAGGGACTCAGGGAAATTGAAAAGTCCTACAGGTGTACTGTATATTTTTATTTATTTAGGCCCATTGATTTGTTGTTACATAGGCCTAACTATAATTTATAATAAAATCATTTCAGTTTGGGAAAAAAAGTAAACATTGTTCTTTAGTTCTTTGGGGTGTAAGGCTATGGTTTAGCTGAAGGTGTAATACAGTACATGCTGGTTTTTTTTCCTTTTTGGAGTGAGTGGGTGCAATTTAAATAAGTTGAACGCTCAGCGATAATGAGCAGAGTGGCCTGGTGTGGATTTTAGTGGGAGAGCGGAGCGGGCGAACAGCTCCGTGAGAGAGGAGCGGTAATTCTCGCCACTCCACTCCGCTTATATACTCTGTTACCCGCTATATAGACGCTACAAATTCAGAAACTATAATGACTCTCTTACACAGGGATCCTTCTGTGTTTCTAAGTATCTATGTTTTGTGCACCTCTCCACAGATGAGGACCAAGAGACTTCAGGGGATTTTGGCAGTGGCGGTGCAGTCATTCTCCTTGATGACCAGGAAGAGGAGCCATCACAGAGCGGCAGAAGCAGGCAGAAGAAGAGACGGGGCCGGATCCACCCCAGAGGAGCCATTGAGGATGATGAGGACGAGGAAGATGATAAGGATGATGAGATGGGCTATGTTTGGTAGTTGCATTCCATGTTACTCTGCTATCAGCCGACCAGGAAACTCCGTTAACTCAGCACAGATCTGAAGCCATTCCAATGTCTCCTCCTCCATTTACCTTGGCAGCAGTCTATCTTTTGGCTCCTGAACTTACTCTTGTAATCCTTGTCACTTATCCACATGCCTCTCTTCAGTGAACCTCATCTGACCTCTTTCTTTTCAAGTGTTTTGCTTTTTTTCCTCAGAGAGAAAACAGAGCATTATATTTCAGCAACACCTGTCAAGACCCTGTTAGAATTCTGCTCAAACTGTCCGCTTTCTGCTTCCCAAACCTGCAGTCCTTAATCTCTTCTAACATGGATACTTCTGTTCACTCTGTTACTCTTTCTATATCCTTTTGCTTGTCCCTCACCTACAGACAGGTGACAAATTAAAGGAACAACCTAAATAAATGAGTGGTCTCTTCCAGGATGACAGGGACTCCATCCATAGGGCACGAGGGGTCACTGAATGGTTTGACGAGTATGGAAATCATGTGAATCATATGCTATGGCCTTCGTAGTCACCAGATCTCAACCCAGTTGAAAACCTCTGGGATTGTGGACTGATAGTGCCTCCACCAGCATCATCAAAACATCAAATGAGGGAATATCTTTTGGAAGAATGGTGTTCGTCCCTACAGTACAGTTCAGAGACTTGTAGAGTCAATGCCAAGGAGCACTGAAGCTGTTCTGGTGGCCCATGGTGGCCCACCCTCTTACTAAAATAATTCATGCTAGTTTTTCCTTTAATTCGTCACCCGTCTGTAACTCTGTATGTCCATGTCAGAGCCTCTGGTCAGTTTGTGAGCTCAAATGCTCAAGCTGATGTATTGGATGTAAATACAGTATGATCCCTCCAGGAAGATCAAATTGTGGATTATCTATGAAGTTCTTCCATTAGCTGTTCATTCTCATGTTCTATGTCCCACTGTTGGGCTCCTTCCAGTGTTCACTGTTTCCAAAATTACCACCACATCCAGGCTCTGAGATGCTCCCTCTCTTTGTTATTTCATGGAGGATTGTAAATTATTTATTCGTTGATCTTGAATGTCCCACAAAGCCCGGGAAGCAATGAGATTAATGATGTATTGTCGTTGTTGTTGCATGTTTCTCATCGTGTTTCTGTAAAAGAGAGATTCACCTGGCCAGGTCTAGCTCTATGCATCTCAAACAGAACATGATGCCTATTTGGCTGCTACAATACTTTGTTGCTATGTTGATGCTGTCTAGTGTCTTTTTGGTTTTTCTCCCAATCTCAGAAGGTAGGAAGTTGCATTGCAGAACAATAGAAGTGTAAAAAAAGTGAACTGCAAGGCCTACAGGCCAAATGTGCAGTGTCTCAGCCAGTTGTTCTTTTACTATTTGGTCAGTAGGGCTGCTGAGGGTGTTTGAATGTGCATGGACACTAAAGGAAGAAGCTGCTCCTGAGCTGGGAGGACATATGAAGTCAGGCGAGCAGAAAAGAGGCTCTGCTCTGCCTCACAACATTGAATATGTTCAGTGATTTGAAAATGAAATCCTCACCATGTCAACTAAGTGAACTTTTATTTGTAACTTTGAAAATTTAAGTAAAGTGGCACTTTGGGTGTCTTTTGAACCTTATGTGTCTGTGTCCATGTTGTTCTCCTGGTGGACTGTTTCCAGCACTAGCTTAACACATTTCATCTTATTTCACCAAATCATGATGAAATAAAAATACATCTGCTTCCTCAGTTTGAAACCACAAACCTGTTTAATGGGTTTCTCGTGACTGTGGGACAGAATTGTCTGCAGTAGAACAAACCCCTCCATCAGTTCTGACCTTTTCCTGACAAAGCAGCCTACCCTGTTAGAAGCAGGAAGAAAAACCTCTTATCACTTGCCTTTGAGAAAGAAGAATCACAAAGTGAGCAGTACCCAATAGAACATAAAAGCTTAATGAGTGTTTTTGTAATATCACTAGCTAATGCGACAGCTGACCCCATTGGCTTAAAACAACCCACTCAGCATCTTGAAAACTCATTGGAACAACAATCTGAGGCTAAAAGGCCAACCGAATCTTCTGGCTTAAACAGCTTATTCAGTGTTTCACAAACTACCTTGGCTGTGCAGCATCTTCTGCAGGCCTCAGGATGCATGACAAAAGCTGTAAAGAAAAGGTCTCATTCGTTCATCTTCCACCATATGCAGAGTTTTTCCTGCTTTGTATCCACCTTCTTCCCAGTCCCATAAAATAACTTCTGTGAATTATGGGTGCATCACTTCTGGTTATTTCTGTCATACTACAGGTGTCTTCCCTTGTCTTTTCTGTTTTGTTTTTAATATTTTTTTAAATATGACATAACTTCTAGCACAGAGCTAGCTTAACTTACCCAAAGATGAAAATGGGGAAACAGCTAGTTTAGCTCTGTCCAAAATCAACCTGCTAGAACCTCTAAAATCCAACTAATAAAAACATTATACATCCTTCATATTGCCAGTTTAACTGTTTCACACTCTTGCAAAGTCTTTATACTATGCAAAGTAGGCTGACTGCTAGCAGAGGCTTTATATTTAGAGTATCAATCTATTCATCTAATGCTTTTCAGGAAAGCAAGTCAACTTTCCTAGGATGTCATTTGTTTTCTTTAAAATGGATAATCTGTTCATACTGCCTTCTACTACTGAGTAATGGGAGGGTGACCACAAGAAGTGGGCTCAAATAACAGCACAGTACAAACTAGGCTGGCTCAGCATTAGCTAAGTGACATGGTGATAAGGCCTTCTGAGGCCCTGACTTGGCTCTATGTCTGCTTTAATACAGATAAGGTTCTGTTCCATCTCCTTTGATAAAACATGCCCAACCTTTTTGGAAGTGCTGCCTCGGAGGCCAATTGTTCTGGCTGTATTCCCACATTTTCCCAAAAACCACTTTAAGAAAAGAGTAAACACCTGTAGCATACTGCTACAGTGTCTCGCACAGACAGCGGTTCATTGAATGGAATAACCAAAGTTATGTCCATAAGTCATGTAAGGCATTATGGGGCAAATGATATAAGTAATTGCATTTTTGATCACAATAGTTTGTTTTTCCTCCTAACCACAAGATACCTGAACTCAATCCAAACACACACACACACACACAGAATCTGATTATTGTTTCTATTTCCCACTTAATGTCCTGGAGTAACTTCCATCTTCATCTCAGAAAGAAAGATGTGTGGTTGTGTTTCATCCTCAGGGCACTCCATTCTTCTGTTTCATTTATCTATTGGCTGCTTCTTTATTATCCACAGATGGCTTCGTTCCTGTAGGTCTGGGGCCCAGGCAGACTGGTGACTGGCACTAAGCAGGGTACTTTGAATAACTAGTGGCTTTTTTTGTGACAAAATGAAATGGTTTAATGTGGTTGATATGAAATATTGATGTTTGGACATAGTGCTATACCTTTAATTCAGATAACTGGTAAAGCACTGTATATTTATAACTCTGCGAACATACAGAGTGAGGTGCCATCCATTAAAACTAAAAGACAACACACAACTCTTGTCTAACACAACATGGTTGCTGTTTTCTAGCCTTCACAATGAGATTGTTTCTGATTTCCTTTTATAGGGTCCATCAGTCCATTTGTGGTGTTTTATAATTGTCATAATATTTCACATATCAGAATCAGAATCACATTTATTTGCTATGTCCAGAGGAGCTTTCAGATTATGTACAGTAGTCATATTTGCTATTTGCTCTCGCTATCTTGTTTTCTTTTGTTAAAACAATAAATAATTTGCAGATTTACAGGGGTTTAAGTGCCAGGCTATTTACTACTTGCTTTGTGTTGTTTTCACACTTTAGTTTTGGTGTGGATTAAACTAGAGGTACAAATTGTTGCTGTTTCTTCCATCCATCAATTATCTATACTGCTTATTCCTGAATAGGGTTGCAAGGGGTCTGGAGCGAATCCTAGCCGACACTGGGCAAGAGGCAGGGTACACCCTGGACAGATCGCCAGTCTATCACAGGGCTGACACATACTAGAGACAGACAACCACACTCAATTTAGAGCCACCAGACAACCTAAGCTGCATGTCTTTGGACTGTGGGAGGAAGCTGGAGAACCCGGAGAGAACCCATGCAGGCACAGGGAGAACATGCAAGCTCGGCAGAGAAAGGCACCGGGCTCAAATCCAGAACCTTCTTACTGTGAGGCAACAGTACTAGCCACTGTGTCACCATGCCACCCTGCAGAACATCTTGTGTTTTGCAAAATCTGCTCTAAAAATCTACTGGTAAGGTTGCTTTGTTTTCCTAGTGTTTGTCATGATTTTTAAGTCCCATGGCTGACTGATGGACTGTGACGGACTGTGACTGAATACTACAGAAAAGCCATTCATATGCTGTAATATAAAGCATTAACTACATGCTCTTAATATTGAAAAGTTTAGACCACTTAATCAAAAGTAAAGGCTGCACATAAAACCTGCTCATAGCTTCATTTTGCACACCCACCATGTGCTGTAACTGGGCCATATGCCAAGACTGCCACTTTAGCAGGTAAAATGTCTATGTGGCTCTCCAGGGTCCTCAGGGTCCAGAGCACTGCTGCTTCTTCCAGGTAGTTTTCATTGTAGCTGCATGATCAAGGACCAATTTAGACCTGTGACCACAGGGAAGTGCAATTAACTACCTGACAAAATAGAAATCCAGCAGCGCCCCAGGGCCCAAGGACCAGCTTTGAGGATCACTGCTCTAAAGCCTGCCTATGTAATTGGCAGAGACATAGTAATAAGTAGGGATCATCTCTCACTAATCTGTCACAGCCCACCACTTCCACTCACACTCTCTTTCATGCTTGGCTGGTGCTGCTCCGGCCAGCTTGTGGAGCATCTGAGCACATGAGAGCCCCTCGTGACCCTGTGGTGGAGGTTTTCTTGGATCAGTCAGTTTGACGTGTTAGCCAACAACACTATCCCAAATGTGCAAATTTAGAGAGAAATCACAGTGTTCTTGTAAGCACCCTGCGGTCCCTCTGATAGTACTACACTGCTGGGTGTAGCCCTTTGCTAAATAAATGAAACAGGAAGCAAGTCATGAATGGTTCCATTGGATTCATTCCTGGCAGCAGTGATAAATCAAATTGGTACTTTCAGTTGAGCAGTCAGGTGAGACCAAACCACATTAAAAGGAGTGTCACATTACACTCAGACCTATAAATGTAATTACTTATTTTGGTTTTCTAAGCCTTTTTGCAGAACTGATTGTTACTATTGTATATTTCAAAGCCAATTCTACCTGGCTCACCAGGAGCTCTAATACTTTTGTCACTGCGTTTCCTTCTGAAAGAAATCCATTATTTTTTATGCAAAACAAATGTGACTTAAACTCATAAACTCAGTGTGTGACAGCAGTGCCCTCTGGTGGTCTAATCCCAGCCTTGAGTTGGTGGCAAGCTCAAACTACAGCTGGTTACATATGGGTATTGATGAATGAACCTGAAAAGCAACATTTTATTTATCATTACTATCATATTACAATATCATTTTATTTTGTAAATATCTATTTACAGTTGCATAAATGAAGTGGTTAACAGTCAAAGCACAGAACAGGTTTGCATAACAAAGGCACTTTATGACAATCATACATGCTGTAAATGAAAACTATAACCAGCATGTCCTCATGCTCAGTTGTTTAACAAAGGTTTTGAAGAGAAGACCTCCTTGTCTTGATTTTGTATAAAAAGCTTTGGGAAGGCAATGGATTTAAATGTTTGCTCCACTCCAGGGCAATCTCATGTTTATGTTTATAGTAAATAATAAGCAGAAAAGACAACAGCAACAGCAGCATTGTATACATTTAGACATTAAATTACTCCATGTTGGTCAGATGAAGCCCAGAGTTAGAGGTAGAGGCATATCGTCTCACCAGTGGTTACTCTGAGCAGCAGCTTCTAAATCCATGATTCTTGGGAGTCGACCACTAGCGCCGCCCTCCAGGTAGCCAGGCTTCACAGTGGGTGTATCCGAGAGCCTCCTCTTGCTCTTGTTTAGCTCTGAATTGAAGGATAAACAAATCCATCATTTTCATGAGAGGATACATGTGCGGCCTACCACCTTAACAGATGGAGAAGCTGATCTGACTCCAAGTGTGGATTCTCACCTGAGATTGCCAACAACATCTTGCGTCTGGCTCCAAATGTAGAGATACCCACTTCCTTCAGATCTTCATCAGACAAAGTAAGGAATGTCTGGTAGTCAATCTGGGTGAGTACAGATAACAGTTGCAGCACGGTGGTCATTTATAATGCACCAACACTTGTGGCTGAGGGATAAGTGTGTGTGTTTGTTTGTGTGTATCTGTGTGTTTAAACCTCTGTAATATGTCCTTCTGTACCAACTATCCCAGCTTGAAACCAGTGTGTTGCATGTGTAAGTGATGATAAAAATGCATTTTTATATTCTGACAACTGATCTGCCTCAGAAAGTGATATCTCACAACTCTCTCCATGTGTTTACCTCCTGTTGTTCAAACACATCAATATATTTGATTAGGCCAAGTTGGCTGAGCAGCTCCGGGAGCTCATCTGTCATTTGGGGGGATGGGCTCCTCTGACTGCTGGTCGATGCCCTCCTCAACGAACACACACCTTCAAAGTAGCTGCTGCTGTTCTGGAAAATCTCCACTAGAAAGGTCAAGGTTCAGAAGAGAAAGTCAAATTGGACCCGGGAAAGTGACAACCCAAAACAGGTGTGTAAAGAACTTACA